ATCCCTCACCCAGGGCCATCACCTTCATCTTCTGTGCTTGCACCAGTAGAGATCTGTAGAGACCAACAGAACTTTATCACTTTATCAGAAGTGCAGTGGGCCTGTGATAGGAAAACCCACAACTGGTTCTCCTGGAACCTAGTCTTCTGCCCAGATTATTGAATTAAGTATAGATTATTGAAGTTTTGGCTATATTGTCCCTGGAAGTATTTAAAAGACATGTAGACATGGCACTTGGGGACATAGTTTAGTGGTGGACTTGGTAGTGTGAGGTTAACGGTTAGGTTAAGGGTCTTTTCCAATTTAAATTATTCCATGATTCTACATATCTTGAATTTTAGATCATAATAATGGGTTTGGGGGGAGAGGGGTTAACTTAAAGCACAAATATTGCCTTAAATCATAACTTTTAGGCTTCCTCCAAGCATTTGTTTTCCTGTATTTTTTTCTTAAAAAACAAAACAACAACAACAACAAAAAAACCCAAAAACAAACAAAAAAACCCAAACAACAAACCCCACTAAAAATCCAAACCTGCCAAATGAAATTAAAACCATCTCTCATCCAGACTTTAAATCCAAATTCTTACTCTGCATATAAGCACACAGCTCTCACTAAATCAGAGAGCTGCATCCAAAAGCTGAATCGGATTCAAACACGGTCTAGTATGAGCACAGACAGATGTCCCATTTTTTCCTCAGCCTCGGTTCTTCGAAATCTTGCACTGTGGCAAGGCCAAGGCCTCTTTCTGCTTGGACTGTGCTTCTGCTTTCAGACCACAAGAACAAACTCTAGCTTTCACCTAATTATGGACACCTCTAAATACTGATTTGAATCCATAAGCAGGCAATTAGGGATCCAAGTACACAAATATACTCTGCAAAAGAGGATGGATGACCTTTTGACAACCTCCTCGCTGGATGAGAGGGACGGACAGGACAGGATCCCATCAGGCAGAGCTTCTCACATCATGACATCAGCAGACTCATCCCTGAACCCTCATACCTCACTTATTCAGTATATTTTTAAAACAATTAAGCCTCGGTCTACACAAGCTGCTTTGCTTTCTCACCTTCCCAACAGCAGTGGCTAAATAAACAGAAACCATTAAGACTACCATAATTCCACCAGTTATTTAATTAGCCTGTGCTCAGCCATGGCATTTCATGTGTTGCTTTCTCATTCTGCGCAAGGAACAGAAGACCTCAAAATTATATCCAAAGCATCTTCAAAATTACAATAAAATTTATATTAATCCTCCTCAGTTGTGGACATTTTTGTCTACCTTTCACCCGTCTCCATTTATTTTTGAATATTTAGGCAACACCCACCATACTGCAATCTTGTAATTGGGACAGAAACTTTTAACTTCAGTGCTATGAGTGAAGTATGGATTATTGTCACCAGAGGGGAAAAAAGGAAGCGGGGGGAGGGAAAGAGGAAAGCAAGTCTGTTTCTGGGAGGGGGCAAAATCCCCCAAAACACAGAGTTTCTTTAGATGTCAATAACAATTAAAAGGAATATCGAAGAATAAATTTAGGCTGAAGAACTAGTAAGTAAGGAAGAACAAAAGCTGTTTTCTAAACTAGTCTTTCAACAGAGCAACTCTTGAGAGAAGCCCTGGGTACTGTTGCTCTGGGGCCATTTACCAACTATACACTGACAAAAGGGAACACTTTGGGAAATGTACTGTCAAACAATCCTGGTTCAGGGGACCCGAGCAGAAATCGTCACTCCTCAGCACTTGACAATGAACTGTCTGGATTTCTCAGTATTGTATGTAAAAGCCACATTTATCTTCTCTTCACTTACCCATTAAAGTAACTAAAACTTTCGTGACTCATACTTAGTCATTTTTTTGGCAGCTCAGCCTGGCTTGAACCAAGTCAAAACCACTAAGCAGAAATTCACAACCAGGAAACATTAGAGCGAAACAACACAGACCTTTGGAAAAAGGAAAGCGGCGTCCTCAAGAAATTACTTGTACCTGGGAACTCATTGAACCACCTACAACTCTTACGTATACATATGTTTCCAACCTATTCTCCCTCCTAGGTCCAAAGCTATTTCTTGAAGAGTGCAGGCAACCAAGTTCACGGGAAACACTTGGAAATCGCTCAGTCAAGACGATGGGGAGCCCCGCGTGGGCGAGCGCAGGAGGCGGAGGAGGCAACGCTGTGCCTAAGGCTGCCACTGACTGTCACAAACCCTGTAAACTGGGTTAGGATCACAAGAGGAAAACAGTGAATTACACCAAAGGTGCAGGAGAAATGCAGCCAGAATACAGAACTAAGGAGGAATCCCATCCCTTTATGATTCAGGTTAAATGCAGTGAAAATAAGGAGGATATATTCCACTCCAAAAGGATCTGCAGAAGAGGGACACCACAGCAATAAGGCACAAAAATTCTAGACAAAGACAACTTTTTTTTTTTTTTAAATCTCTGTAACTAAACACTGAGTTTAAAGCTTATGGGACCACCTCAGTGCTAACTATGATGTATCTTCAGTGAAGTTTATTCACCTATTCACCAGCACTCTGGGTTTAGCAAAATGCAGCACTGAAGTAATACACGTGACTGTCACCAAAAAATCCAACCAATCACTGTGGTCTTCCAAAAATAATATACCAGAACACTCTTACATGACGTATTTAATGTTTCTTTTCAGCACCCTCCTCAATGTATTTGGATAAGATTGTCTGGCTACACTGTACTTCCAAACCTATCTTTATCTCATTGCAAATGCAGACCTATTCAGAAAGTACACGCTGGCTCCTGGAACTGCAAACCAGCTGACATAATCTTGGAGTTGTAACAAGCTTTGAACTTCCTGAAAGACAATCAAGACCAATTTAGTTTCTGAAATAAAACCCACATCACACAGAAAAAATCATATTACTGTAAGAGATACTAGGATACACTACCCAGAGAGAAACTTCAGCTTCACGCACCAGCAAAATAGGGGAAAAAAAGACCTGATTTCAGAAGGTACAATGCAAATCCCTAAAAGCATATTCTTAAAATAACGTTTTTAGCTTTATGGCATACTTCTACGTGGTTAGTTTTTGTTGGTTTTTTTGTTTGTTTTATATTTATTTTGAACAAGCTGTGATCACTTGTTAATAACAATGCAACAAGAGGAATTTGCAGCTTCCTTAGTGTGATGCCATGGACACTGACACTAAGGCGCTGCTTTATCATTCATTTAATTCAGTGGAAAATATCTAACTTCAGACCATGGACACCAAGCTCTTGGGAGCTAGAGAAGCCACAACAAGAAAGAGACCGTTGTGATCTCCCTGAATTCTGGATGCATTAGGGTATATCCTAGTTTAAAAAAAAAAAGAAAAAAAAAAAAGAAAAAAAAAAAAGAAGCAGCAGCAATGTGGAAGGGAGTTTCAGTTCTTCTCAGTCCATACCTGGATGGTGTCAGATGAGATCTCAGTAAGATGAAGGTACATGCAATACTGTGGTGAGAACACTCAGGTGTGACTGATTTCTCTGGTTATCAGCAGATCATTCTGTCGCCTGTGAGGCTCAGCACCCTGGTCCTTATTTGACATTGGAGCAGAAGAGCTGCAGGGCTAGCCAGTGTTTGGATTATGAGGCCAATTACACTTCACACTGCTCAAGTAGTGTAAACGCCTATCAGGCTTCCTTGTTTTTGAATTCTCAATATTTGGCTGCAAAACCCACCTGAAGGGGCAAAGACATCATCCAGCCACACTAGGTCAACGCCGAGCGGCTACATGAGTAAGCCCCTAGACTGAAGGCCAGACTGCCCTATACAGCTCCTTTATTTTGCTTCCAGTCTGAATTTTCTGAGAGCATCTGTGGCCAGTTTTCTCCCAGAAATTTCTTCTTTCAGCTGTAAAGAAAGTCTTTTTTCTTTCACGTGTTCCTGTGTCCATGTCTAGTTTCATTGTGGTTAATAGTCTTTTACGTTTGAGTACGCACAAGCTACGATTCAAGTATGTTTGTATCACTGCACAACTACTGACACAGAACGTAATTTCTGTGGTACCGGTTTGGTTTCTTTTATACCCCCAAAAGCCGGTATTTGTGCAGTCTAATCTTCAAGTTCTTTGCATGAAGCCACAGTTATTCTTTGCATCCTTGCTCTCTATAACTTAGCATTTCTGGTTCTTTGAAAATCCTTCTCCGTATTTTTGTATGTGTTTAACTCCTCAAATTTGCAGTTTGAGTTTTGGCAGCTAAATACATCGAAGTGACATTTTTAAAGACAGCTATATACGTCAGTCTAAGAAAATTCAAATGAGCAATCCACAACCATGCATTCATTAGCGCTCTCTATTTACTGTGAGATCATCCGGCAGCAAAGATCCCTTGGTGTGACTGTTCTCCCCTTGCTCATAACCCCTGAAATACTGAGGGAACTTTCCAAATTTGCAGTCTGGGTTTTGTGGTTAGATGAAAATTGCATGCATTCATTTGGGCCACAATATAGTAAATCAGGTTTCTAATCCAGTAACACACCTTTTCCGCATCAGTCTCCAAACCCTACCTTTGCCAGTTATCTTTTAAGCGCAAAGAGCAGACTGTAAACCTCTGATTACCTGTTCAACTCCAAAATATCAGATAGCTAAAAATTGTTTCCAGCCAACTGACCTTAAGATATGACTGTCTCACTGTTTATTCCGTAGCTACTAATCACACTGCAAGAAATTATTTTGCTCTGTGCCCTTTGACATTTACAATTATCGGGTGAAAGCTTTAGAACGCCTCTTCTTTCTTAGAATTACAGATTTTCGGTACAATCTACAAGAAAGCTGGACAATAGAGAGACTACCAACATTTGAATTTTCCAATTCATCCTGCTCAGCGGTGAGTATTAATCCCCGCTTAATTTTCCTGCATAACATGCAAGAATCAGGACCAAACTGAGAAACGTGTTCCAAGACACTTAACACAGCAAGTTGCAGCAGACCTGTGAGAGCTTCAGAGCAATGAAAACAACCTTTGGATGCATTTCCCTTACCTCTCAGGATGTAGTTCTGATAATTCTGGTCAGCCTCTGCTCCCACTTTGATTAAGCAAGTCAGACCTTCAGCGACAACAAACTCATGAACCAAGTCCTTGTCATCCTGCCACAGGAGAAAGGAAAAGCGTTAGAATTTTGAAAGACAAAAAATCAGGGTATGTCATAATGTAAAACCAAATGCATGCCTGCAACGTTGACTTTATGTTTCAGATGATGTAAGCAAGTTGATATGAAAGTTGTTATATAGATGACCAGGAGCATAATTCTGTATTTTAAAATCAGAATTAAATACATCAATGCAAAGCAAGAAAACCCAAGCTTTTACCTTTAAGTCAACTACGGAAGATTAAAATCAGTAAAATATGACTTCTGATTTTTTCATTAAAGGCTTGCAGACATTCTCCCTGATACTATAATCTCATCATATCACATAAACAGACATCCTTAAAGCCTTAAAGTGTCAGGATCAACAAGAGAAGGCCATCTCTATGCCTTAGCACAATTCCAGTTTCAGTATTTTCAGTGCATACAGCAAAACTTTAAAACTGGTGTTCATTGCAACATAAGTTATAAGTTAATATATTCATTAACTTGACATACTATTAATTCATTATATTTAGAATGTAGAAGTACAGTGTTGAATATAATATCACACAAGTAGATAATATTCCCACAGTGTGATGGAAAACACAGCAAATAAGACAAAATACTCCGTACTATTTCATGGGAGTTGCCAAGTCCCTTCTTTTGAGTACTTTTAATATATGTTTTCATACACAACAGTGTATTAGATAGAAATTTCAGCTTTCCCATAACGCAGCCCTGAGAAGCCAAGATCCAGACAGTAGATAGTTTTGTTGAGAGTGATTTCTGAATTCGCTGCAAACACTTAGAAAACTGCCAAGGGAAATAAAATAATCAAGCGCCTTTTAGTGTGACAATTCATTTACTGCAAATTTCTTTCAGCCTGACAGTTTATTTCTTATGAATTTCCTTCTTTCACCAGAGCTAAGTTATATGATCCTTAAAGGCTGACCAAATAGGATATTTAAAATTGTAAGGTGATCTAGCAATTCATGAGAAATTTACAAATTATGAGAAATTGGCAGCATACTGCAGAATCAAGAAAGCTGTGGGGAAAACATCCTCCAAAATAGTTTTTCCACAAATCTGATGACAAATAGATGCATCTTATATTGGACAACACCATTGTCTAATTTAAGAGAAACAGGATATATAACAATATAAACAATTATTTTTTCAGATGGCAATGGTGTCCTAGCTCAGAGCACACTTCCTTATTCTTTAAATACCTTTTGTCGATATTTGAGTAGACATTTTGGTTTTGCATCAAGTATGTTTACATCACCCTTGAGTTGAGGGGAAAAAAAATAAATCTATTCTGGATTGACTCACGGTCAAATAAGTAAGACTGTCAAAACAGGAAAAAGGAGGAATAACTGTGGTCTGAGGATTCTGGTGTTTGTTAATAGACCTAACATGCCTGTTTGGGAAAAATAAAAGACATTGGGATGATAAAAAAAAAAAAAAAAAAAAAAACCTGTCCCTATGCTAGAGAAGTTAACAGTAGTTCAGCTTCAGACACCTTCAGGTCAAACCCAAAAGAAAAATAAAATTTTTAACAGCACATAGCCATTAAGGACTGTTAACATTCAGTGGAAGATAAAAACTGAAATACTTATCATAACTTGAAGATGTTCCCCATAATCTTAAAGAGTGAATGCATATTAGAATATCACCTGGGGAAAAATCAGCATTTAATTCTCAAACTACCTCATGCTAAAGATCTGTTTTAAGTTGGTGACTTTTTTTTTTTTTTTTCTTTTTTTTTAAAAAACAAGGACCTTCCCCAAGCAAATTATGAGATCTGCCTTCTGGAACTCTTTCAAAGCAGCTGAAGGAGTAAACCACTACATAGAGCATAGAGTCATCCTTGACCGAAAGGAGATACATTGCAGGGGAAGAGCGGAGGAAATGAAGGGGATGAGGGACTCTAACCAGACTGCTTTTGGAAAGCACTGAATAAACAAATCAAACCTGAACTAAAAAAAGGCTTTTAAGGTACTTCTCCTTTCCCAAATAAAAGGGAAAAAGAAGGTGTAATGAAGCGGAGTACAAACACATCATGCTCTAGACGTAAATCTGAACTCAGTACATTATCTACCCCATCATGTATATACGATGAGAGGAAAGAAGCAAACATCTGGAATGTGCAGCGAAAGATGAAAGGCATCCAAGCCCATACGTTCTACATTGAGAGGAGAATGTTTACATCAACTTTGGTCTAGGATAATCTTTTCAGACCCATTAACTCACTGACTTGCCAAGTTAGGTGACCTCAAGAGTAAAGGCTACTCTCTAGCAGTGGTAAGAGGTTCAGGTTTCCAGGAAGAGCGCATTCGTTGTACGGAATATACAGCGCGTCTGTGACAATGATACGTACGAGCAGCTGCCGCCTGTGTGTGATAACAGTTAAAAGGAGGCAGGGAAAGGTTGTCATTTGCTATGGAAATGGACTCCTCTGCTAATATCACAAAGATTTACGACCCCTTAATCAGCAGGCATTAAGGCACTGATGAGAAAAGCAGCAAAACACAGGCAAAGCTCTGCAACCAAAAAGACTGTGCAGCAACACAAAGGCTGGCTACTTTAAGTCTTTATGAAAAGATACCGTTGGCCTCATCAGATAACTATATTTTACGTGTTCAGTCACAGACTTGGAATAGATCATATCCCTTCTTTTCTTTAGGCATCTCAGAGGAAGAAAAAACAAGATCATGTACGTCACTTCGAAGTAGAGCTCTATTTTTGTGCAATGTATAATGAGAAAGATGTTAAACATATTCAAGCCAGTGAGTTTAAAGCTTATGTGGCTGACAAAATGCACAAATCATACTTTCACCTCTATAGCTCAGCCTAGCTATTAAAAAGACCCCACAAACCCTGTGATCAAGCAGTCTATACAGTATGGTCATGTGCCAATAGCAGAATAAGAAGCGTAGGCGGGATTTCCTTCTTTCCTACCCGTTCTCCTGTCTCTGTACCGTTTGATATATTCTCTAATGCAGTTTTGCAGGGTCTTATCTGAAGGTGGAGACTGAAGACTTTTTTTTTTTTACAAGGAATCGCACTTTGCAAGAATGCCTATTATCTGATGTGCAGCTTCCATGTGCAAAGATAAATTGTTTACATACTGTTAAAGAGAAATCTTTCTGAAGCCTGCGATTTCTGCGGGCCATATGTCTGAAAACTTTTACCCAAAGCATAATGATTTTTACACCACAAAAAAGTTGCTTCACTTCATAATAAGAATCAAGGTTTTGGAACGCAGTTTCTCAAGGGGAATTTTTTTTTTTTTCTTTTCAAGCTAACAAGTACTGCTGAAAGCTCCATGCCAAGTATTTGAGGAAACTGGATTAGTAACTGAATATTCACATTTGGATATGCACATACATATTTCTCTCTTACGTGGCTAACAGCTGTGCAGAGTACTGTCTTTCCAAGGAATCATAATGAGATGCTTGACTATGAGATTTCCACCAAGGAGAACCTCATTTTTATGGTTTTTTCCTTTCCTTTCATAAGCTATCCCATTGTTTCTGGTTGCTTGAGCATTCCCACATTTAATGCTATGCTGTACAATTCTCTCCTGTTTCTGTTACAACTTTCTATTCAACTTTCTATTACAAAGTTAAATATTGCACATTTTATAATGTCCATTTCTTTAAATACGTAACCATGGGGTTCCCCAGCCTGTGCTCTCCACATGACATGTTATTGAGTGAGCCAGCAATCACATTCTGTACCACCAAACTTTCCAAAACGTGAAAGTTGCAATAATCCAGCCTAGAAGTGAGAGCAGCACAGGCAGCCGGGGTACCAGCCATAGCCATGGGAATCTGCTTGCTAAGCTCTGCCTGCAGGCTTACACGAGGGGATTGTACTCGCGCTGAGCTCCAGTTTGACGCACTTCACCCTCTGTCTGAGGAAGAGCTTCTCTCTGCTCTGTCACTCTACAACATCCCTATTAAGAGAGGTTTAAACTCTGATTCTCAGGCCAGCTCTGATTTTGTCTGTAGACCAAAAATGGTAACTTTACAGAGATATACCGCATTCACATTTTAACGTTGTGATAATTCACCTAGGCAAAAGACAAGATGAATATTGCCAATTCACTGTGCAATGTAGGATAAGAGGAGAAATGTAAACCTACCGGATTCAAAGTGGAGGAGCATCCTCCTCTGCTGCCTGAAATCTGGCAAGATTGCCAGCATACCAGTAGAGTCCTACAGGCATTTCTGCGTGGCTCATTCGGACGCTGCCTGCCTCCTGAAGTAAAAATCACTACTTTTTAAGAGGGGGAGCTAGGAAAATTTTCACTCATTGCTATGTTCATCTATAAAATAGTATGCTGGGAAAGTGCTCTGTCCCAACTCCACATTGCTACATCACAGCAAGGTCTCCTTGGAAACCCCTCTTGCTCAGATTCCCCTGCCAGGAGAACACGCTGCACAGCAAGGAGGCAGAACTAAAACAGAAACCCCAGACGATGATGGTCAATGTGAAAAAAATAAAATAACAAGGAAAAATACATGGATCACTAAAATGCCGGTGCACTTGCAGGAAGTCCCCCCAAAAATAAAAATGATGGCCACCCTCTTTAGAAGTGAAAAGACATTTTTTCACACACCCCCCCTTTTTTTTTTTTTAAAAATCTCCTGCAAAGTCAAGATAGGATCACAAAGTTCAGCCGGTTTTAGGAGGATTAAGGTTTAGAGATTAAGCTTCATTCATTTGGGGATGTAAATTAGCGGCAGAGGGACAGCAGCTGACTGGTGAGGAAAGGGAGGAAGGAGGATGCAGGTCAAAGAGCAAAGCACGCGCAACTGCAGGCTTCTGCTGACATAAATCTCAAATGACAATACATCTGGCGCTCCACCACAAGAAAGTAAAATGCAGGACTATTGCCCAATATACTTGAAAAGTCTCCTCTGTTACTAAGCGAATAAAGGCAGAATGATAAAATCCAGGTTTCTGTTAGCAACAGCATCCATGATGGGTAGGTCCTTATTCCACCCTTCC